CAAACATATATGCATTTTAGTAGAGTTGCCACCAGCCGAAAAATTAAATTGAATTAACGAGACAGTAGCCCCAAAAATATTTCAACACGTTTACAAAATTTAAAAGATGTTAGGGAAAATTTAATATCAACAAATATTTTGATAGAGTTGCCAACTGTCTGAAAATTAAAATGAATTAAACAAAAAATTTGTTAACAAAAAGTTATTCTAAATACTATATATCCTTAGGGCAAATTAATTAACCTTTCATAAAATTATAGAATAATTTTAAAAAATTTGGAATAGAACTTATATTTTAACAGAGCTGTCACTTATTTAAAAAAATGTATGATAAATTGGGCAATATTGTTATAATTTTTTTTATCCAAATACATTTTTAATCGAATTGCCAAATGTCAAAAAAGTTATTATAAATACACATTTTATTAGAGTTTCCAACTCTCTTAAAATTGAAATGAGCTTATGATTACCAACTATAAAATATGCTTAATTAATTCATCAGTCAGAAAGTCATAAAAAAAACTTAAGAAAATTGAAATAAAGCGTATATTTTAACAGAGTCGCCACCCGTTAAAAGAGTTTTTTTTTTTTAAGTTTGCAATATTGTTAACTAATATATTTTTTAACTTTATTCCAAATGCAGAGTTGCCAAGTGTCAAAAAATCAAAAAGAAATATGTAAATATAATTGAATTCAAGCTAGAGAGAGAACGAAAGAAAGGTTATTTTAAAATTTTGTAATCAAACAGACATACCCACAGTGTTATCCTGAGTTTCGCCTCAAAGCAAATTCATCAGAAATTTTTCCATCCACCCATAGTGAATACGTACGATAGGCGGAAAGAGAAAAGTGAAGGATTTCGGGCGAAATGAAACTCATGATAAGGCTGATAGTGAAAAAATCGTCACACCACTTTTTAATGACAGCATTAGAATTGCCTTTCATTGTAGGCTATAATTCCTGCATAAGGATTATTTTCAAGATTTCCTCCGGATTTTGTCGGGATTATTCGTGTTTTACTCTTCCGAACTTTTTTAAATAACTTGAGGCATTTTTTGCGTTTCGTTTTTTAACTTAGTTGAATTTTCGTGTTATATTTATTGGTTTCGAGATTTTTGGGTAGCTTCGAGATTTTTGCGATTACTTCGGAATTTTCGGATTTCTCGGGATTATTTCGGGATGCTCAGGACTATATGAGATTTAAGCACTATTTTGGTATTTTCGTGGCTAATCCGGGAGTTCAAGGAAATTTTTCAGTGTTTTCGGTACTATATGGGATTTTTCGAAACGAGATGAGTAAAGTGTTGAAAGATAAACAAATTAAAAGTCTTCCCAATTTCAATTCTAGATGATCCAACTAAAAAAAAAAAACCAAAAAAAGCTTTATGAAAAATCCTTACGATATTAAAGAATTAAAAAAATACCCAAAAGTCTTAAAAATTAGACAAAAGTGTCATTAGATATGTAGAGTCAGAAAAATCACGGGATACTTGAAAAGATTATATAACTTCTGCAAAATCTATAGAGCGGAAACACCAAAAACACTGTAAGCACGCTAAAATTACAAACAAAAACAAAAAAACGAGACACATAAACTTATTTTTGGTACGTAGTTTATACAGAATACCATTCTTCTAGATCAGGTAATTTTCTCAAGACATTTTCATTTTATGTTTGCATTGCTAATGAAAAAATGCTCAAACTTTAACATTGGAAAATCTTGCTCATATACCAAGTTAGAATAACTACTTAGCAGAAGTACGACAGTGTTTGATGGCGAGTGATTAGTGAATTTCACTTCATTACTTTTCATGTTCATTTGCTATGTTATTTACATCCTTTACTAACTATTTTTAGTGTGCAAATAGCCAACAGGCAAAGTGAAATCATTTAAGCAGCTCTCTACTCAGTACGTGCCTACATAAGTTTAATGTCAGCGCCTTTGTGAAAGGCGTAAAATTTTGCAATTAAAATCAGATCAATCGAAATAAGCGCAATCGATTTGATTTTTTGTTCGCAAAAAAAAGCNAGCACTTAACCACTTTAGCATTGTACATATGTATGTAAGTTAATGTCAAAGTGCACTCGCACAATTGCTAAATTTTGCATTCATAGTGAAGAGATGAATGAGTGTAATTAAAATTCAACTCATTTACCTAATATAAACGAGAAAAAAACTAATGTGCATGGCAATATTAACTGTGCAAAAATAAACTGTGCGCTAGTTTGTGCAACACAAATGGGACTGAAGTGGAATAAAACGATATGACATTGGGAAAGAAAGGTTGCTTTGAAACAAATTTAATGCGGTGAAGGATTCGTTAGCTAAAAAATTTTCGGGAAAGTGCATACGGGGGGAAGTGCATGTCACGAATCTAGAAGAAAAATTCGGTCTTATATTGAGTAAGAGCTGCCGACTGGACAGCACCAAACCGGTGAAACTCCAATCTCTTAGCTCTCCAGAAAGAGGTCAAACAACTTTTTAGCAGTGCAAAACGAACTAAGTACTGGGACGATTACTCTTCAACGCAAACAATTTTAGGAAATCCCGTGAAGGCATTTCCTCCAACCGGGGGGTAGCCTCACTTTACAGGTGTTAAACCACCACACAGAGGAGGACAGTCTATCTGGCAAGAAGAACTGGATTTTCTAGCCTTGATGCAAAATCTTTTCCTCCCATGAGCTAAACATCTTCATCCTAAAGGCGATAGAGAAAATTCTGGGCAACCCAAAAGTTCTACGACCCCAACGTCAATGCTGTTACACTATGAGCAATGACCTATTCCAATTACCGGCTACCAAACGGCACGAACTCTATAGGACAAGCTAGTGCTCTGTGCACTTTTAGATACTCAAAGTAACATTCGATCTATAAAGAAAGGACTGTAGTCGTCCCTATTTGCAGATGGAACGAAACCATGCAAGGAACCAGAGAAAATCAAAACCCGATTTCTCATCTCCCAACTGAACAAGGACGATTAACATAGAAACATTTCGAGAAATGGTTCCAGAACGAACTAAATATCAAATCAGCCTAGAACCAAAAGGTTTTTCACATATGGCTAAAGAGCTGTCGATAGTGGCGATATGTGGCTAAGGCCAAAATATATATTCCTACGGGGAACTACCGTACCATCCTTCAGAGTTTGTACCATCAGTATAAGCTGAGGTAGTAGATGAACTGATCAGCAAGCTGATAAGCCCCGAAAGAACAAACACAGCGCATGCATTGAAATCAATGTACTAAATTTACTCTTTCAGCTCAGCTACAAACTTTTTGTGCACGAAAGGCCTTATGACTGCTGATGTAAAGGGTATTTAACTCGGTTGAAAATCGTCTCCGTTTTCGGCGGGACTGCCCCAGATTTAAGAGCTATGTCCTGGTCCCAGTACAATACTTGCCGAGACGAAAAATTTCTCGTTTTTGGCAAGCAAAAAAATGTAGAACTTCTTAGAAGTAAAATGTGTGTCTTCAAAGAGTATGTAAATATTTGTTCGATATTTTTTTGGAGAATTCTGAGATCCAGCAACACGTGTTATTACCTTAACACTGGCATTGTGTTAAACTAAAATGCCAAGTTGTATGCAAATTTATTGAATTTTCCTGAGTTTTGGACGAAGTTAAGGGATTTGTTATGTACTTTGTTGTGGTAAATATGAAAAATATTTTAACAAGAAATTCGCGGAAAAGTTTTAAGCAAAAAATTTTACGTACATTGTGAAAAACTCCCTGTTCCAATAATTTAGTGTGAAATTTATAATTTGGTGTGATTTTTATTTAAATTTTAGTAATGTTATCATTAAGGCTTCGTTTTATGAAAATTTTTGTATATGAAATGTTAATTTTTCGTTTTTTTTTGGGGGTTATTTACTTATACAAATTATATTAAACCATTTTATTGAGCTTTAGGCCGTTAATAATGAAAATTTTTGCGGAAAAACAGTAGTACATTGTAAGTTATAGCTGCTATTTCGGAAATCACCACGTCTCAGACTTCTTCAACCGCCATGACTGGTATATGAACCAGCGACTTTGGGTTACAAAGCCAATGGTCTACCCACCGTGCTAAGTTCGCCAGCTCGCCACGAAATTATTGTTGCTTTTTCCACTTCCGGTTTAAAAGTATAAAAATGTATGTCCAGTTTTTGAGATTACCAAAATACCTTTCAAATGACCAAAATGTAAATGAATAAATTATGAAAACTTGATGTCCAGGTTTTAAACTACCAAAAGTTTATGTAAGCTTTCAAAGGACCTAAAATTTATGTCCAGTTTATAAATTATNAAAAAAAAAAAAATTCCCAGTTTTTAAATTACCAAAAATGTATGTATATTAATTTTTCCAATGGTCAAAATTGTTTGCTCAGTTTAAAATTATGAAAAATGTATGTCCAGGGTATAAGTTGCCAAAACAAAGATTGTTATTTTAAATTATCACCAATAGTTTTAGGTTCTCTAAATCTACAATTCCAATTTTTGGATTACAAAAAAATTATGTCCAGTTTTCAAATTCACAAAAAATATTTTCAACTTTTTAATGACAACAAAATTTATCACCTAGTTCTCAAATGGCCATAAATTTATGCCCAGTTCTAAAATTGACAAAAATACATTTCCAGTTTTTAAGTTTCCAAGAAATTTGTCATAAAATTTATGTGCAGTTTTTAAGTGACCAAAAAAATAATTTTGTTGTTTATAAATAACTATCAAATTATGTATGGTGTTCAAATTATCAAAAATGTGTGCCAGTTTTTAAATGTTTAAGAAATATTTGCATAGTTTTTAAATTGCCTAAAAAATTGTCCAGTTTTCAAGCTGCTCGAAAATTATGCCTTGTTTTAAAATTACCAAAGATTTGTGTCCAGTATTTAAATGACTAAAATGATAAGTCTAGTATTTAAATGACCAACAACTTATGCCCATGTTTCGAATTGCCAAAAAAAAAATATGTACATACATTTTTGGAATTTTGGAACATTTGCTCTTTTATTGCACTTACTTGATATGAATGTTATTTCGCTCAGCATTATCCATCGCGCTGCAAAGTACAAATGTATTTGTAAATATTTTCCCAGACGATGATGCAATTTGATTGTCACATCTCGTGCATGATCCAGCACCGTATCGGGCATATAAGAAAATTGCACCGGTTCGCCGGCATATTGACGTCCGCCAATGCTGAAGAAGACCTTGGCGTGCACAAAAACCTGCAAGCAAATTAAGTTATGGAGATCAGCAAATGTTTGATAAAAAGAAAGAAATAAAATCACTTCACAATTGACAATTGAAAGATTTTTTAGTGAAGTAAAAAACTCCATCCCATTCAGTAATGTAGGCCTTTTTAATTCTTCACTCGACTAGTATTTATGTGTCAGAAGCCTCTGCCGATGATATTAGACAAAACCTTCACGCATCTCTCATGATCTTCTGCTGCAGGTGGTGGCTGAATTTTGATTATGTTTTTAATGGGACAGGAATTCATGAAACTGGCAACTAACTATCGGTGAATTTCGTCGACCTTTGCGCATATGTCTGTACACTGTCTGGTCTAAACTAACTAAATAGTTTGCAGAGATAATTTGGGAGGTGGCTTTTGCTCAAAGGAGTGTCGGTGTTTGGCATACACGACGCAAAACCCGCACAAAAGTTGCATGCCTCTTAACTTGGAGCACTATGTGACTTAGTGTAAAGGTCGTGTACACTAAGCCATTCCGAAGTGCAGTATTTCGACAGGCATGTAATCAAATGCTTTGTAAGTTGCCAACACGTTTTTTTGCCTTTTAACCAAGTACTTCCGGCAGAATATGCGGAAGCTTCATTGCGTCTCTGGTGCTGATTACTCTTGTATATGCTAAGAATGAGAGCGAGCTGCCGTAAGTAAATCCTACGATTTTCGGGTAATAGACCATAACAAGTCATAACTCATCGATGTCGCGCTTCTTGCAGTAAATAATTGGGGATGGAATAATCATTAACTCTTCACATTTGATATCACCAATTCTTTTGGCTTGCGTCATTAACGAGCAACTGCTAGCATATGGGATCAGAGAAACTCCCCTCTTGAACAAAAGTAGTGAGAAGAAAACCGTGTAAAATCAACCATCTCCTCTACCCTTACCAGACCTGTTGTCCGTAGGGCATTTTATTTTTGAAACGGGGCTATGAAGCCATCTAGGACAAAGTACATATGTAGTTATTCTTCTCTGACAGCAAAATTGGTTCTTGCTCAGATGCCATGTATTATCTGAGGTTGCCTTCTCTGTGCTTTCGTTAAGCTAAACAAGCTTCAACATTTCTACTAAACCTCTAGAATTATTTTAATATTTTTTAATGCCTGATTTTATCAAATTTTATTGCAACAATTTGCTAAAAGAGGTTTTAAGTTTTGTTTTGATACCTAGATTTGCGACATGGCTGCATTCCGCGTTACGAAGGAGAACATATGACATACACAGTTTATTTACATACGTAATTATTTCCAATTTTCAACATAAAAATGTTCTTATAAAATGCACCTTCAATGAAGCACTTGAAAAGGGCGATGGGCAATCGGAAATTCGACAGCCTATCGCTTATCAATATGCTTGCACATATGTATGTACATATGTATATCAACAGAGGTTAAGCTCGTATATAGGGTTGCCAGATTTTTTTGGCGCGAAATCAGTACATTCGACTTTTCCAAGCTATAAAAATCAGTACTTTTCAGTACACTTTTATTCCAAGCAGAATTATGAACGTTAGTAGCAGATAATACTTTAACACGCCAGAGTACTTATTTTTAATAATGTCTTGGTATATAAATGAAATGTTCTTCACAAAACATAAAAATGTTATTCTTTTTAGTATGAGTATGCACATTAACATGTAGTATGAAATACCTTTATAATATCATCACAGGAGCCAATAAATTATTTTATATATATGAAATTTTTTAATAGCAATAATAAGATCATTTCCACTTTCAGTGTTTAAATAGTCAGAGAACTCTAAACATTATATTTTAAAATTACTTTTAATTTGAAGTTCATTTTCTAAAATTTGAATCGGTTTCTCTCTTTTTGCCAGGAAGCAAACTTTATACTTAAGTAAGTTCCTCTCAGCTGCTTCGTTTAAACGTGGTATTGAAAAAAACAAAATTACATATTTATTCAAACTGTGGAAAGATACCTCTATTTAAGGACTGCATCCGTATTGCCTCATGGATTAAATTACTTTTTTCAACTGCGCAAAAACTTTGAAATTGAGNCTAAGGACTGCATCCGTATTGTCTCATGGATTAAATTACTTTTTTCAACTGCGCAAAAACTTTGAAATTGAGTACGTCTGGCAACCGTACTCGTATAATAATAACGGGTGATATAGTATGTATGTATGTATGTATGTATATTTATTAGTCAGGCACGAGTCAGCAAGATCAGTCGATCAAAAATCAATCATCGAAATACAGATAATTAAATATGGTTGATAAAATGGACAAGAAATATATTGTAGGAAATTACTCTTTATAAAAGGGGTACAAATACTACTTATATGTATGTATTAATACATCATATATGTATGGCACTAAGTTTGTGTGATAGAAGTCTGTAAGTTATGCATAAATATGTCAGTCCTTTGAGAGCTTGATATGGCGCGGAGTTTACAGAAATGAGAAAAAGTACGTACTCGCATGTATGTAATACATATGTATGTATGTATGTATGTACGTCTGTAGTGACAGGATTGTAGCGCTTATTTAGTTTTCTGTACAGTACTCGTATAATTGTTTTTTACTGTTTGCCTACCTTTCAGTTCTTTGAAATGGGCTAATCAAAATACATACATATGTACATACATAAATATGTTTCACGTAATTTGCACATTCATATATATACCTAGAGATAGCTACATACATACCGCATATGTATATTTTCTTTGGTTATTCTATCATTCGTGTACAAATAAAAATTGTTGAAAAAAGATAATAATAAAAGTACAAAGCATAAAGCATGTAATTGCTTTGAGATCCCTTTGGATAAGCAATAGCTAAACATACAATTATTTATGGAATTTAGGCCACGCGCGTTCAAGCTAAGCGCAAAGTAAAATCAATAAATGGCAACCACTGTTGTTTATTATTCGCTGACAGGAGGTACTACTTAATAATTTGTGTTGTCCTTAGTTTTGTGCCGTTTGGGAGCGAGGTAAAGTGAGAAGGCGTAAAACTTCGCGTGCACTGGGTTTGGGTCTCGCCACGTTAAATCCCCGCGCAAAGAAAAGAAAAAAAAAAACAGCCTCGGATGAAAGCTAGATTCTTCAACATCTCGCACAACTGCGCCCATGCCTCGACGGCAGAGAAGGATGAGGCGTCCAAGGATCTCTTCTTCGTGCTTGGCGATTTTAAGCCAAGGTGGGCAAGGAAGCGATCTTCGGAACCACCGTCGGAAAATTCAGCCTCCACGACGAAACGTCCGATAACGGACTGAGGCTGATCGACTTCGACGGTGCTCGAAGCATGGTAATATGTAGTACTAGGTTCCAGCATAAGAACATCCCCCAAGCTACATGGCTGTTTCCAGATCGAAAAACGAGAAACCAAATCGATCATGTTGTGATAGACGGAAGGCATGCTTCAAGCGTTTTGGACGTACGTACACTCCGAGGGTCAAACATCGACTCGGACCACTATCTTGTTGTAGCCAAGATACGCACCCGCCTCTGTGCAGCAAAAAATGTGCGCCCAACAATGNGATTTTAAGCCAGGGTGGGCAAGGAAGCGATCTTCGGAACCACCGTCGGAAAATTCAGCCTCCACGACGAAACGTCCGATAACGGACTGAGGCTGATCGACTTCGACGGTGCTCGAAGCATGGTAATATGTAGTACTAGGTTCCAGCATAAGAACATCCCCCAAGCT